ACGGCCAAAACCCAAGCTTTACCCATAAATCTCCCTCAAGCCGTAGTGACCCAGCTAGAAAATCTATACACATTTGATTGGAGGAAAAAAAAAACCTGTCCTATCTAGGAGTTCAATTGACTAAAACCGTCCAAACAATTCCAACAGAAAACCACTATCCATTGCTACACAAGATAAAAACCTCACTGGTAAGATGGGCTGAATTACAAGTTTCTTGGTTGGGTCACATAAACTCTCTAAAAATGATGATCCTGCCTCTCATCCTTTACCTATTTTGTATGTTGCCAATATCACTGCCTACCAAATTTATTAATCAATTTCAATCTACCATTAATGCACATGTGTGGAAGTGAAAGCCACCTCGAGTGGCATTCCATTATTTAGGGCTCCCTTATATTAATGGAGGGCTGGGATTACCAGACATCAGGGCCTATTATAGAGCCACGGCGCTAGCTCAAGGAATACGCATTTTGCGACTCTCACATATGGACTCCCGCCCGTTTTGGCTGTCCCTAGAGAATGCATGCATAAGTCCACACAACATTGCTAGCTCCCTATGGTCCAACATGATGCCCCCGGGCAAGTGTGCTCATATGCTACACAATTCCAAATTTCTAGTACAAGCTTGGACATCCTGGAGTTCAACCATTATTCCATTATTCCACCCTATTCCATTCTGCACCAATTGAGCTGCTGATGAGCATCTCCCCAGACTTAACGATTAAATCGTGGGTCACAAAAGGTATTCAAAAGGTGAATGATCTATTAGAGGGGGATAAAATTAAACCATTCCCAGTGCTCCAAAAACAATACTCGCTACCACCGAGAGACCTGTTTTTGTACATGAGAGTAAAAAACTTAAAGGACCACTATAGTGCCAGGAAAACATACTAATTTTCCTGGCACTTTAGTGCCCTGAGGGTGCCCCCACCCTCAGGGACCCCCTCCCGCCCAGCTCTGGGGAGAGGAAAGGGTTAAAACTTACCTTTTTTCCAGTGCCGGGCGGGGAGCTCTCCGTCTTAGATCCTCCTCCCTTTCGGCTGAATGCGCACGCGCGTCAAGAGCTGCGCACGCATTCAGCCGGTCTCATAGGAAAGCATTTATAATGGACGCTTGCGTGTTCTCACTGTGATTTTCACAGTGAGAATCACGCAAACGTCTCTAGCGGCTGTCAATGAGACAGCCACTAGAGGATTTGGAGGCTGGATTAACCCTATTATAAGCATAGCCGTTTCTCTGAAATGGCTATGTTTATAAATAAAGGGTTAATCTTAGAGGGACCTGGCACACAGACTACTTCATTAAGCTGAAGTGGTCTGGGTGCCTAGAGTGGTCCTTTAATGTTTTCCAGGTTAGACACAACACATGATGTACTTCCCGAAGTGGTAGTGAATGTACCCTCAATGCTTTCAGCCAAACACTTGAAACCTCTCTCTCTATGTTACAAAGCTCTTCTCCAGGGGCCTGCAAAAGACAAAATGCCCTATATGATCCAATGGGAGGAGGAGCTGGGGTATGAGATCTGTCACATTGGCACTCTGGGAAGCCTTCTGTAAAATCACCATGAGATGGGACCTGGTGCCATACAAGTTATCGCAAATCTATAAGGAGGCATCAGAGCTATGCTGGAGATGCAAAACACAGATACGCACTATGCTACACACATTTTGGGATTGTCCGGCCCTGGGAGAATACTGGGACCGGGTGGGAAAATGTATCTGATTCTACACTTTATAAAAGTAGCTTTATTTTAAAAGACATTAAAAGCAAATCAAGGTCCTATGTGTTTCTTCCCATAAGGGATTTCCTTAGGGACAAAGAATTATAAACATGTACAATAACAATAGCCATAACCCTCACCACTGAGACCCGCTTTAAATCTCTGTTTCTTGAAAATCATATATTTTCGGTTTATGGAGTCTGCATTTCACGTTGCGTTACACCTAATGATGCATGTGCAATATTGCTGTGTATATTAAATTACTTTATTTTAATTATGTAGATGAGGTTATGGCACTACTGCTGTTAGATTGGGAAACAGGACCCCTTCCACTACCTTCTCTTGATTTAATTTCATCTGGTGATTAGTACATGACATTAATGATGGTGTTTTTTGTTGTTGTTTTTTTCTTTTAAATAGGTGGTTGTGTTGCAAAATGGGTTGGTGCTTGGTGGATTTACTATTGTGATATTATTGTCTTTTGACTTTGAGAAACTGCACAGTGCTTGCACAAGTGCATAGCACACATAGAAAAAAAATATTAAAATAGCATTTTCTTTCTCTAAACAATAAAGAATAAAAAAAAAAACATGTCCAGGCTTGCGTGTGCCAGTTCCCCTGAGATTTTGGAGCCTTGGGGCCCAAATGTGACCACATTGCTGTCTTTCCTAAAACAAATTCCCAAGTCTACCAATTAATCAGGAAATAAAATGTATTATTATGACAGTGGTGACAGAGGGAGTGGGCCTTGTCCGTAGTTTTTGTCAAGGTACCTAGACCTAAACATTGTTTGCTAAAAGAACATAGAGATAGCATCCGCAGCTTGTTTGCAACAAAACTATAATACATTTTGGTGGTTAAGCTGCTTCAAGTGTCTCTTCAAATTTATAATTTTGTTTCCCATATGGGCATACTTGAATGTATGTAAAACATATTTTAACTACTTTTCCTTTAAACATGGTTTGCAAGTTTAGTGGATATACTCTTTTCTTTACACATTTGAACTACAGTAAATACATAAAAAAAAATAGATTGAGGAACTATCCCTTATTTTGTATTATTATTGGTTATTTTACAAAGAGGAGATACATCAGTAAATTATGTTGCTGAGAAAGATATTTACAATTTGCATAACTGTTAATAACAATGATGATGGCTACATTACACACATAAGGTGGAGGTAATTCCTACTAAATGAGTTGAAGACTATTGAGCCACATCTTTCATGTTTAACAATCACCCATAAAATAAAGTAAGTGCTAATGTAAAAAACAAACAAACTGGTGTGTCTATGAAGGATTAAACCTATAACCAAGGGGGCATTTGGAGGGGTGTAGGAGAATGGTAAAAGATATTCATGCTAGTTAGCACACATGTAATTTAAATAAAGAAATGTTTAAGTAAGATAGAACTTAATATCAGATAATATCTACTGCTCAGGTGCCTCATGACAATGGTTAGTGTAAAAGTAAAGATTAACAAAGCAAAGCAGACATTCTGCAAAAACAAAACTGTGTACATTTACGTCACAGAGTCCTTTTATCCTCCAGGAACGAATGGTGCAACTAGGTGCAGGTCTCAATGTTGATGGAAACAAATCTTCCAGGTCTATGGCTAAGAAGAAGGCGAGAAGCTCATCAGGAGATGAGGCCTCAAAGATATTTCCTCCCAGTCTATGGGGTAGACCATTTGTATGTGTTGCTCACTTCCAGTAGTTTTTTTCATGATGGGTTGCATGTATTTCCTCCATAACAGTGCAGAGTGGCAGAAGTCCTCGAAGAACATGAGGCAATGAGATTTGAAGTCGAGAGGTGTTTTTCTTGAAATTCTTTCATTAGCATCTGTCTGACATCTTGGTATACTGTCTCTTGTGGTAGCTGATGCTGCTGTAGCAGACTTTGCCCAGTCTAGAATTATCTTTTTAGCCTGTTTAGCAGGTATTACTATTTTACAATTATGCATTGACACATAGAGTCCAGACAAGTACTAAGAATGTCTTGTATTGATGTATAAATGTGAATTTATTTGTAGTTTTGGTACTTAAAATGCAACATGCTGCTGAATTTAGCAGGAGCTCTAATCTGCTATCATAAGCCATACTGCAGTTATCAATAAAGACAGTCTAATAAACCTGTTAGAAGTGATGAAATATTCTTAACTTTGTCTAACCGTCAATTATACTAACTCACTTTTCACTTAATGCAGATGAAAGTCAGTGGTAGTAATTGCATTGTAGCTTATTGTAGCATATAAAATCATTGAAAAGGATTTAGGTGTGTAGGCTGAAAGCAAATGAACATCAGTGATACATTCCTGAAATATAATATATAATTTTTCTTTGCAGAAGTATGTATTGCTTCCCACCCGTTACCATGGAGACTGGAATTATGCATGACGTAGTCACTAGTCACCTACATCACGAACAGATTTATCTGATGCTTACACCTTCTGATGAAAAGTGTGTACAAAAATAAATAAACAAATAATCATTTCATTAACTGTAGAATTCAATTAAAAAGGCTTTTAGGAGTATTTATCATGATTTCTTTCTTATTTTCATGCAACTTTAATTCCGTAGAACATGGCCATTTAAGACATAAAATCCATCAATGAAATTCGTATTGGTACATCATTTACTTCTGGGAAAGCTTACAAATGGAAAATCAGATCCTTCAACTTGATGCTGTCACATTAAAGAGCTATAATTCACCTCTAGCTGATGATTATGTGCCTGTCTTAAAAGATTATTAATTAAAGTGAGAATTCAAAGTGAGAATTCAAAGTGAATTTCAAATATAAGGTCAAAATAATTGAAATAGAAACATTTTCTAAGTCAGCTATGCTTTTAGTTCAGCTAATCACGCCTTAATATCGAACTGTCATGAAAGGTTATTTCCCTCTCTCTTTCTTTCTCTTGCTCTAATTCTCTGTGTCTCTCTTCCTCTTTGTCTCTCTGGCTTTCCTTTTTTCCATGTGTCTCTTCATGTGTAAGTTTACACCACTCAATTCAGCTCCTAGAAAGCACCTTTTTTGGTGGTGGTCATGTGTGGCAGCCTGAAAAAAATTACTGGAATAGCAAAAGGGGTTAAAACTCATGACAGGTGCAAAGTCGGTGCAAAGCATGGCTGCCCTATATTTATCAGCCTGCCATCCCACATAGCTAGCCAATCCAAACACACTAACTATGGATGTCTGCCTCCTAGCTCTTTTAAGGCCCTATTCCACTAAGCTTTGCTGCTCCATGGGCTACATGACAGGTGCATAGTCGTACCCTTGGGCATTAAGAATAAACACCCCTTGCTGTGATTCCTTTGCTGGGTATGCCCATTAGGCCTGCATTGTCTGACATAAAGCCGCTCAGCTCTGCTGTCATCAGTGATTTTAACCGCTCCTGAACCAAGTCAGCGCCCTTCTGGGTTGGTCTCTTGATTCCCTTCACTATGGCTTCAAACACTGACCTTAATGATGGACCTGTCACTCCTGCTGAAAAAGGATTTCTGTTCCACTTACTTGTCATGATGATCACTGGATCTGCTATGTTCAGATCTGATAACTTTCCTATCAGTATTATCCTGTGGTCCTGAACAGCACCCCTGATGTCCTGGATCCCTGCTGTGATCATTTTGCTGCCTAGGCCCATTAAGCCTGCTCAGATTTTGCTGCCTAGGCCCATTAAGCCTGTACAGATTTGCTTCCTAGGCCCATTAAACCTGCTCAGAGTGACTCCCTAGGCCCATTAAGCCTGCTCAAATCTGCTGCCTAGCCCCATTAAGCCTGCTCCGAGTTGCTGTCAATGCACATTAAGCCTGCTCAGATTTTTCTTCCTAGGCCCTTTCAGCCTGCTCATATTTGCTGCGTAGGCCCAATAAGATTGTTTAGATTTACTGCCTTTGCCCATTAAACATGCTCAGATTTTGCTGCCAAGGCCCATTAAGCCTACTCAGATTTGCTGACATGCTTAGATCTGCTGTCATCAGTGATTTCAGCTGCTCCTGAACCCAGTCAGCTCCCTTCCCCTGGGTTGGTCTCTTGATTCCCTTCACTATGGCTGCAAACACTGACCTCATGATGGACCTGTCACTCCTTCTGCTAAAGGATTCCTGTTCTAATTCCTTGCCATGATGATCATGGGATCTGCTATGTTCAGATCTGACACCTTTCCTGTCAGTATTAAGCCCTTGTGGTCCTGAACAGCACACCTGATATCTTGGGGCCATGATGTGATTCTTATGCTGCCTAGGCCCATTAGGTGTGCACGGTCTGCCATAAAGTCTCTCAGCTTTGCTATCATCAGTGATTTCAGCTGCTACTGAACCCAGTCAACTCCCTTCTCCTTGACTGTTCTCTTGATTCCCTCCAGTATGGCTGTAAACACAGACCCCTTGATGAACCTGCAAAAGAAAAATTCATTCTCCCAGCCCTAAAACCACACCAGCATTGCTGGCAACAACAACTAGGTCAGTGAGACAGCATTAGAATGGGAACATTTTTGACGATGGCTGCCCTATATGTATCAGCTGGCCCATCCCAGATAGCTAGCCAATCCAAACACACTAACTCTGAATGCTCACCAGCTAGCTCTATCAATGCCCTATTCTACTAAGCTTTGCTGCTCCATGGGCTACATGTGGATGGAGCATCCTGTAACCCTACAAAGACTCTGCAAAGGTGCAATCCTTGTCATAATAAGGAACCATTGCATCAGGGACAGTAAGGAACGTGTTCTTTTTAACTTGCCTTGTTTCCCTAAGATGTCTTACTGAAAGACTTGATGTTTCTGGTTACCCCCAAGGTTTTTCTGGTTTAGATTGATTAATTGGTCATTCTCAATGTTAGGCTTTTTTTATTGGATAGAAATCTATTTCAAGGCTGATTTCCATTTCTAATCTGTCAGCAATGGAATCCTAAGGCCTAAACAACTCCACTACTACACTGATTTGTCTTACATCCCTGACAGCTAGTGTAGTTTTTACCCTTTTATTCTGATTGTCCTCTCCTTTCTATGTCAGTTATTTTCTTTTATTTAATTATCTTAAAATATACTTTATATATTTATGAAAACTGGATGTTGTATATAATTTAAGCATTATATTATACTACCGTACATTGCTGGTGCTTATATGTGTTCTGGCAATTATGCTAATGCAATTAGTGCGCTGGTATTTACAACGTGTATCTGAAACAGCTGGACAATGCGATGTTATACTAGGTTGTACATTTCCTAGCAACTACAAGTCTTATGTTATCTACATTTAAGACATAATAAAGATGGATTCAAAGAATATCATGAGTCATTTACCAAAATGTTCATAAAGGTTAGTACATATATTGCTTTCACCATTCATAGGCATACAACAGACACATTTTTGTGCATGCTTAATGTTTTTATAGTACTGGCATATCCACATTTCCCCATGTTTTTTTTTTTTTTTTTAAGGATTAATACTTTCAAAGTTACACATAAGGAAAGGAAGGAACTACTAATTTGTTGGTTTAACTGGCAAAATAATGGTGATATATTTGTAACCTTATTTTGGAATACTAGAGTACAGGTGAAGTTAAAAATGTTTATTTTAATACATTTTACTTTGAATTGTAATTCAAAGTTAAACAAAAATGTGTATGAAATATATATTAACATTATTGGCATTGAAGGGGTTAAATGATGTTTAAGCTAAAATTCTTAATGACACCATTCTTTCACAAGACCATTTAAAAGACCTTTTCTGTAATCAGGCACATTTCATTCTGTATTTCTCTTTCCATACAACTTTAAACTTTATTGTTTATACTTGCGCTATATGTGCGGTATAAGCATTTTTTGAGGGTATATTTATCAGGGCACAATAGGTGCAATTCTAAATGCAAAGTGCTAGACCGTGAGCAATCACCATGGAAACCACTATAATGTCCCAAATCATCACTCACACAATATCTTTTAGTTACCTATTTTATACCTTACTTACTCATCTATCATCTTATCACACACATGCACAGACACACACGCACATGCGCACACACACAGGCACACACGCACACACACACATTTGACTTGTTTCTTCCATATTTATTCTAATGTTTTAAGCTACAAATAAAGTGCTTAGTGAAACTATACAGTCATCAGGAGCTAGATGAGATCATCAGTTAACAGGCTTTTAATATAATAAATCTGAAACATGTTCATATATTTCCTGAGAATAAAAATATGTAAGCCTCTTGTACCCAGAACAATATTAAATCAAGGAAAGCCTTTCAGCAATCCCGCGTGCTCTGTTACTGCCATTTAAGCTTTGCATTTCCACAGGGGAGGAATCTTTGCAGAATGCAGTAAGACATAATTTCATGCACCACTGCAGTCTCTTGAAACTAATTTAACATCCTATTTTGTTTCTGCAGTTCTTTGTTTCTGTATATTTGATGCTCAACCTTATCCACACACACCTTACCTCATTTTCTAACAAAGGCACTTCAACCACTAATATCTATAAATTTGCTAATTATGAATATCATATTAGTACGTGTGTCCCTGTATTCCAGCATGTCATATTTCCAAATGTTTTCACATATTGCAGGATTTGCCTGAAGCTCTTTTATTTCTCCATGCAAACATTAAATTGTACTCTGGGGTATAATTTAAATCCTGTGCAATTTGCAGAATTTATCAAAATGTAAATGTAAATCTGTGAGGAAAATAAATGGTCTTTTCAGTCAATTAATATTGTACAAGTGTGAGAACCAATAAGTAATCAGACTGTAGTTTGCATCTATTAATGAAAAGCGCACATACATATACGCATACTAATAGAGATAATGGAAGAAATTATGTTTCTGGTGTTACAGTACAAATAAAGTGATGTACATATACTAGTCACGTATCTAAAGTGTAAAAAAAATCTAATATGACTTCAAATATCTAATTAACTCAATGTAAAATACAAATCATTAACGTGGAGTTAGTTAAATGTGCCTTTGTGGTTCTTCCGTGTGCAGGAAGAGGAAGACAGGCAATGGGGGCATGGGTCAATTATGGGCTGCTTCCTCACAAGGACAATACTGAACAATATCATGTAACTGTATTTTTGTAGTATTATTGTATTCCAATTCTGCTTTTATAAAAGTTAATTGAGCAAGGAAACAGTATGTGCAGCGTTTCTGCTTGAATTGCTGCACGAACAGAGATATCTGCACTTTTATGCTGGGGACTAGTTGCACCCATGCACACATGACTTGGAACTCTGTTCCCTGCTGCTTTATGTTAAATCTGTGCAAGAATAACATCTGTGGTCAGCATGCACTGCATGCTGGCGACAGGAGTAATTAGCTTCTTAAAACAATACCCAGTGGAGGCCTATCCATAGGGCTACTTGGGGCTGCTATTTGCAGTAATTGAGAAACAAAAAGATTATTTTTCTGGAGGTGATGGTGGTAAGCAAATAATGTAGGAAAAAATTGTGTCTCTTTATTTTGTAATTGGTTTCAGTTCTGCAGTGCCCTTCATTAGTAGCTGTTTGGAGAAGCTTACTTGAGAGCATCTGGGCGTGTCAAAAAATGGGGCGGTCTTGAAATATGACCTGTTTCAGTAGGTTTTGCACATGCCTAGTCTCCTTTAAGGAGGAATTTCAAGTATTTTTATTGAGTTGCCATTCGGGCAGCGGAGCCAGCTTGCCCATGAATTGGCCTCTCTATTCATGATTGTCTCATAGCACCAGGGAGTGGGGTTACAGTGCCCACAGGAAAGAGAAGCAAGAAACCATCTTGGAAGTAGCACAGAGAGAGATCAGCAGCTGCAGACCCTGGGCCTTTCCAAATGTAATATTATCTTTTACTTCTCCAGTAGCCACAGTGGCTGCTTTAGGGTTGATTAAACAAGGACATTTACGCAAATATTTAATTCCTATATAAAGGGAAGCCCAGGGGTATCAAGGGGAGGGGGACATTTCTGACACAGAGAGCTGTGCTGCCTGCCACTAATACTTTTAACAACTACTAATGCACACACCCACCATCTTCTTTAAAGTGTCCAGTCACTCCGTGAGTGTGACACTCATGTTCTGAATAGTTGAAAAGTGAAGCTTCATACTTTAGGATTGAGGCTCGGAGGACTAAGTTGATTCTGATTTTGATCTGTTTTAATATGCAATGATTGATGCTTATTTTAACCATACTAGCTACTTCTTGGCTCCATATTACCACTGCAAATTAATAATATTGCCGATTGCAAAGGTTATAATGAGTCTATTGTGATGCATTAACCATGAGCACACTGTGTGCTGAGAGTTAATGAAATAATTGACATGTTTCATAACCACAGCAATATTTAACAGAACGAAGATAGATGAGGTAATGATAGGGGAAGCTAAGAGAGAGCTAGAGCATTTTACAAAGACATGTACTGTGTGAGTATCTCTGTATTGCATCTCTGTGTAACCCATCACAGTGATCCTAGCTGTGTTGGAAAGTTATGAGTATTAATGTGTTTAGCTCTGTGTGGTATTTCTCTGTATTTTACTTAGCTCTATCTATTGTATGGGTATCTCTGTAGTCTGTCTGGCTCTTTTATTGTATAGGGATATTTGTGTTGTGCCAGCTTGCTTTATTGTATGAGCATGTCTGTATTATTCTCGGCTCTCTGTATTGTATGAGTATCTCTGTACTGTATTTGGAGGAGTAAAATTCTAGGAAAGGAGTCTGGCATGGCACAATTTTAAAACTTCACTAACCACCAATGGCAATGTTCCTCAATTCATCTAGCTTGGTAATGGAAGCCTTGTCTCATACCAATTCCAGTTCCTTTCAGGCTACTACCCTTCCCCTTGTTGACTCTATAGTTTACGCTTTTGGCATACCACACTCCTTCCTTCCCCTGCCAAAGTTTGATTGGTCCATCAGTTCTTTTCTATTAGAAGCATTTAATTGGACCCCAAAATGAAAGAGGATGACATTGAAGAAGTTAAATCATTCGGGAAGAGCTGGCCCAGTGTTGTTTAAAACATTCTCTTGCAAAAAAACAAAGTGGGAGGCCTAAATAGAGATGCAATGTAATAGGAAAAAAAATCACATTTATGAAAAGTAGAAAATTGCAATGGAGTAGTCCTTTAACAAAGGTGATTTGGTCTCAAATCGGGCTATTTTTTTGCACTTGCCCCTAGGCTGAATGTTGCCAGCCCTCCATTGAGTTCAAGTTATATATAAAATTTAGAAACGTTCAAAAATGTAT